TGGAGAATAAAGAATCCAGATCTGCCCTGGTTGATGGGAGGTGGCAAATGAGGCTCCAAAGGGACAGAGGGAGGTGCTGATATTCAGCTTTTGCTGGATGATGCCTATTGAGGAGGATGGTTCTTGGTCTGGAGAAACCATCAAGGGCTCAGGTGACTTTATAGGGGGTGAGGCAGGAGGAGGAAAGACAGATGAAGGGAGGAGGAGAAGCAGAGAAGAGGATCAGGGCTTTTGGCAGCAAAAAGAACTGAGTCATGGGCCAGATTTTGCTGGTGGGATCTTGTTTGGTGGACTCTGCAGTGGGGAAATGTACCCACAGCTTGGGGACACCTTATTCCCTGGCAGTCTCACCATCTGGTGAGAGATGTGGTCCCAGGGCTCTGCAGGCAAGTGGCACAAGGACACCTTGGCCTGGGGCACCTGAAACTCCTTTTTGGCCTCTACAAATCAAGCCCCAACTGGTGGTGCAGAAACAGCATAGAAACATAGAATGGTTTGAGTTGAAATGGACCTTAAAGATCATCTAGTCCTACCTGGGCAGGTAGGAAGAAGCTGTGGCTGCCCCATCCCTGGCAGTGTTGAAGGGCAGGTTGGATGGGGCTTGGAGCAGCCTGGGCTGCTGGGAGGTGTCCCTGCCCATGCAGAGGGGGGGATCTAGATGATCTTGAAGGTCCCTTCCAACTTAAACCATATGATATGACATGATTTTAAAGCCCAGTTGATGCCTTCAGTGTTTGCAGCCTGTGGCTGCTCTTCTCTCAGTGCTTTTCTCCTTCTCTGGCCAGGCAGAAACCCTGAAGCCAAAGGCAGCCAAGGAAATGCTGCCTGACTGTGAAGCTGCAGCTGCACTGAAACAGGGTTGACCCAAAGGTTATCAGAATGTCCCTTCTTGCTGATTTGCTGCTCTGGGAAACCCTGCCTTGACCCCATCCCTCCCTTCCTCTCTGCAGGGTGTCCAGGATGGGGTTTGGTGCTGCAGAGCCTGGGTGAGGAGCTGCCACAGGGATCCCACCCTCCCTCCCTGCAGCATCCCCTGCTGGAGTCACCATCCCTGGAGGGATTCAAAACACATGCAGAGCTGGCTCTTCAGGACCTGCTCTAGTGGCCTTGGTGGGTCATTTTCTGGGTTGGTGGTTGGACTCAGTTACCTTAGAGGTCTTTTCCAACCATGATGATCCTGTGATCTCCATCCCAAAGCAGAGCCAAGCAGAGGAAGACACATGTTTTACCCAGAACAGCATCTGGCAGAGTTTCTAATGAGGTATTAATATTATCATTGTTATTTTAAGCAGGGTCCCTTCCTGCTGCTGGTGGTGCTGGTTCCTCCATGGGATGTCCCTGAGCCAGCTCAGCTGCTCCTGGCATCTCCCACCGTGCAAGGGGAGGGAAATGTTGCCACCCCTGAGATTCTTTTCCCATTATTATTCTTTAGGGTTAATGGTTTCCAAAAGCTCTCAGGGGGACATGTTAACATGGGGAGAAATTCCAGAGGCTTTGGGCTGCCAAGGGCCAGGTGGGAGCACAGGGTGAAATCTTCCTGCTGCTTTTTGAACTCCAGATCCAACCCAAACTGCCTCCAGCTCTTCAAAACTGCTCAACCCTTGAAACATAAATAATAAAGTGCTTTGCTTTTAGTCTGAAGGACACTCTTTTATGCCATTTATGAAATTAGTATTCCCATCAGCCCCAATCAAAGACCTGTCCCCTCAGCCATGGTTTGGCACCCGTGCCCATCCAGCAGGTTCTGCTCATATAGATCATCCATAAGGAGTTCCAAGTGAACCAAGGTCCAGGAGAATCCATCAGGAACTTTGTGTTGCCCTCACCCTGCAAGCACAGGATCCCAGAGGCACAGGATCCCAGAATCCTTCTGGTTGGAAAAGACCTTTAAAGATCATCAAGTCCAACCACTAACCCAACTCTACCAACCATAACCCAACTCCACCAAGCCCAGTGCTTAACCCATGTCCCTCAGCACCACATCCCCATGGCTTTGAAACCCCTGCAGGGATGGAGACTCAACCACCTCCCTGGGCAGCCTGGCCCAGGGTTTGCTGACCCTTTCAGTGAACACATTCTTTTCTAATCTCTCATCTAAACCTCCCCTGGTGCCACTGGAGCCTGTTCCCTGAGAGCAGCAGAGCAGTTTCCATCCCATGACCTCCCAGAACTGCAGCATCTCTGCAAGCCTCTCAGCACATGCAACCCAGCAGAAGACCATTACACCCCCAGAAGTGTGACTGGTACAGCAGGTTGTGTTTTCCCCAGAAGTGTGACTGGTACATCAGGTTGTGTTTTCCCCAGGGAGGGAAAACCCAAACCTCCTGAAGAACCACTTGTTTCTGCAGTAATTCAGGCAGGGGCAGGAGAAATGAAGGATTATTCTGCACCAGACAGTGCATGGACTTGTTTAGACAAGAAAGCTTTGACTCTGGCCCAAGACCAGCTACCCCTGCAAGCCAATCACACAGGTTCAAGTGTAGCCCAGACATGGAGACAAACACAGTTTCACCCACTAAGCGCGTCCCAGCAGCTTCAGTAACCACAACATGATGCCACAATTTGCTTTCTGTTGCTCCTCACAACACACCAGCTGCCAAAAAGCCCCGACCTGCAGCCAGAGGAACCCTGGGGAAGCTCATGAGGTGTTTTGCATCCTGGCACCAGCACTGAAGAGCTCAGGAGAAGCAAAAACCCTGGTAGGAAACACGGAGCAAAGTCCTGTCCCACCAGTGAGCACCAGTAAGAGCCCCCCCCCCCCGAGCAGACAGGGTTCACTGGGGCTTCCAACAACAAGTTTTGGCTACTAAAGGTTTTGCACTGGTAGTTATGTCCAAGAACTTTACAGACCCAGGAGGTTTAGGGGCTGGGAAATGTCTCAAATCCTTTTGGCCAGCAAGGAGGTGGCAGGGAGAAGCAGCAGTGGGTGAAGGTGGGTGCTGGGGCAGCAGCTGATCCCATGGAGAGTGAAAGGGGCTCTGGGAGGAGAGGGAAGGGGTTTTGGAAGGAGAATTGGGACAACCCACCCTCCCACCTCAGGATTTCAAACACCTGCTTCTAAGGAAAGGCTCCTGATTCATATTTCCTACCAACTGGGAT